AGAGACAGATCATGAGCGGGGGAGGGGCAGAGAGTGAGCAAGACTCAGAATCTGAAACAAGCTCCAGGCTCCAAGCTGTCAGCACAGAGCATGATGCAGGGCTCGAACTGGAGATGATATCATGAATGGAGCCAAAGTTGGACGCTTAACTGACTGAGCCACCCAAGCACCCTAATCATTTGTATTTCTAAAAGAGTGAAATTTGAGTTGTCTATTCCCTGCTGATCATGTTTTTCCTTAAATTTTATTGGTTAGCTGAAATCATATCACACACCCTATATGAAAGGCATTGTGCTAAGGGTTATGGAGGAATCCGTGAATAAAATGCATTAAAACCCTAGTTTAAAAAAAAAAAAACATTCTGGTAGAAGAGGAAAAGGAGGGAAGAAATAAGTTCTTATTATTATATATGCCAAATATTTAGGTACTTTTGCATTTTCATTCAATTTTCAGTATAGTTCTTCAGGGTTACCAGTGATGTCCCCAGATGAGGCACTTGATACTCAAAGAGGTTAAGTTGCCCAGAGTCACACAGCTAGTAAAGGTTAGTGCAAGGCCAGATTTCATCCAAGTCTGACCCCAAAACTTGTGGTCAGTGACTGTTGAGAAGATGGCCACTATTAAGGAGAATGGGTAAATTTTGGGCATAGGGAAACAGAAAGATTATTTTAGGAGAAAGAAAATTGTGAAGGCCAGAAAATTTAGCCTTGTTACAACCAAGTAATCAGGTGGAACCTGACTAGATGCTCTCAAACTTTTGGTTCTTAGGACCTCCTTGTATTAAAAGCATTGAGGGCTTCAAAGAGCTTTTTTGTTTGTATGGGTTATATCTATTAATATTTACCATATGAGAAACAAAAACAAATTTAAAAATAGTAATTTAGAAATAACAGAACCATTACATATTAACATCAAGTAACATTTTTATTAAAAATAACTTTTCCAGGGGCACCTGGGTGGCTCAGTTGGTTAAGCATCCAACTCTTGACTTCGGCTCAGGTCATGATCTAACGGTTCATGAGTTTGAGCCCCACATTGGAGCTGCACTGTCAGTGCAGAGCCTGCTTAGGATTCGGTCTCTGTCTTTCTCTCTGCCCCACCCCCGCTTGTGCTCTCTCTCTCTCAAAATAAATAAGAATTAAAAAAATCAAAATCTAAGAATTACATGATAGTTGAATCCTCATATCTGCTTAGGAATTCAGTCTGTTACAATATCACATGCCATATAACTGGAAAACTCCACTGTATACTCATGAGATATTGAGAGTGAAAAAAGGTAAATAACATGTAAGTTTTATCATGAAATTAATGCTGTCTGCATAGACCTCCTGAAGGTGTTTTAGAAAACCCATGGGACTTCTTTGGAGTATTATTGGGCAAGCTTGTGAAAGAGAACCCAATTGAGTATGTAGGGTTGAGTTCCTTGGTTAGGTTTGGTTTTAATAAACAATGCGGGAGCCACTGAAATTTTCTAAAGGAAGATGAAATAGAGCTGTGCTTTTAGAAGATTATTCTACACATAATGCATAGATTTGGGAAGCAATTATAGTTGTACTATAATTGGTTGTTGAGGTAACTGTGATAAGCAGTGTAACAGATATTGAGAATATATTGTACTCTTCATCTGACTATATATGAAGGGCAAGAGAAAGAGTCAAAACGATGCTGAGATTTTTGAGCCTTGTGACTGGGAGACTAATACTCTATTAGTAGATCTAGGAAACACAGGAGAAGAAGTAAGCTTGAGAAGGAAAGTAGTGGATTAAGTTTTAGAAAAATGTACAAAATCTACAAAAAAATGTTTTACGTTATTATTACGTTGAAATAAATTTAGTCTTAGAGAAAAGTTACAAAAAATGATACAAAAAATTCATATGTATCCTTCACCTATTTTTCCCTAATATCTACAACTTACATAACCATAGTACATCTATCAAAATGAAAAAAGTAACATTAAGTACAATACTATAAACTAAACTCCTGACCTAACTCAGATTTCACCAGTTTTTCTACTGTTCTTTTCCTATTTGAGGATCCATTCTGGGACCCCACACTGAATTTATTTGTTATGTCTCCTTAGTACATATATTGTATATGTATTAAGATATGTACTAAGATAGTTCCTCGGTTTTCCTCTTACAAAAATTATTTAGTGAAAAGAGAAGATGTTTATTTTAAGTGTAGTGGAAAAAAAGTGTCTTTTCATCTTTTTAAAAATACCTAAGAACCTGAGTAAAATTTCACTATTTTTTCTTTAAAAAGTTACAAAAGTGGGCGCCTGGGTGGCTCAGCCAGTTAAGCGTCCGACTTCGGCTCAGGTCATGATCTTGCAGTTTGTGAGTTCGAGCCCCGGGTTGGGCTCTGTGCTGACAGCTCAGAGCCTGGAGCCTGCTTTGGATTCTGTGCCCCTCCCTCTCTCTCTGCCCCTCCCCTGCTCTCAGTCTGTCTCTCTGTCTCTCAAAAATAAATAATAAAAAAATTTTAAAAAATAAATGGTTTTAAATGCTTTGTCTTTGAGACCTTTTGCCTTTAGTCAGTGTGAGGTAAAAGCATGGCCATGAGGAGGCCTAGGCAAGGGATTAAAATGAAACAGTTATTTGGAGACTACCTATAGTGTACATCCTAGATTTCGAGGTACTTGGTGGAATAGGAAGAAGTGTTCAGGAAGTCAGAGCCAGGGTCGGGTTGTGAACTGTATTTTAGAGCGGCTTCCATGAGCAGTAAGAAATGTGAAGTTAGGTTTTGGCTCTTACATGAGGATCTTATGGACTTGAGCAATTTGTATAATTCAGTGATGATTCTTACAGAGACAGTGGAGAGAGGAGCAAAGGAAGAGATTACTAATCCTAGAATTTCCTTTTGAAATAACATAAGTCACTAAATTATTGTTAATAGAAAATTTATGTGGCTGTGATAATAGAAGTAGATAAGTAAGAATGCCAATTAAATCAGAAAAACTATAAATCAATAATAAGACAGTTTTTGAAAAACTTGGAGTAAACTAAATCAGAAGAGACAATTTAACAAGGATAAATGGTTCTTGCTTTGTGTGTGTGTGTGTGTGTGTGTGTGTGTGTGTGTGTCCTATCTTAAAAGTACACTGGCTGCTGAATAGACTAAGAACAAAAGGGTGGGGTTTTGGTTTCTTTGGTTTTAGTTTTTGTTTGTTATATATTTCACCCCCTTAGCAAGTCTCAGAATTCCTCATTTTTCTTTATTCAGTTTTAGGAATCTGTAGTTTTCTGGGTGAGGGAGAGTATATTTTGAGCCTTTTGTTTTCTGTTGGTTCTCTCTGTACCTAGACAAAATAGTTTCATTTATATATTTCCAAATATATCAGGGCATATTTCTAGAGATGTGGTTTAAGAAAGGTATAGAACCTTAGATATTTAGACGCCTAAAAAGTCTAGGATGTGTTAGTCTCCTCACCTAAGCATTAGTGTCATTATTAGTAAGTAATGATCAATCTCACTGTTAAGAATGTTTGATGTAGGGGCACCTGGGTGGCGCAGTCGTTTAAGCGTCCGACTTCAGCCAGGTCATGATCTTGCGGTCCGTGAGTTCGAGCCCCGCGTCAGGCTCTGGGCTGATGGCTCAGAGCCTGGAGCCTGTTTCCGATTCTGTGTCTCCCTCTCTCTCTGCCCCTCCCCCATTCATGCTCTGTCTCTCTCTGTCCCAAAAATAAATAAATGTTGAAAAAAAAATTTCAAAATTTCCTTATTAAAAAAAAAAAAAGAATGTTTGATGTACTGTCAGCTGCTTCTTTCCTATAATAAGTGAGCTTTAAATAGACAACTTAAGAACATAACCTTTACAGTTCAGTTGTGAGATTTTCTCTCTTGTCCTGAGCTCTAACCGCTCCTAACAGGAGGTAGAATCAGGGCACAAAAATATAAAAACAAGATAACCTTTATTTTCCTATAATATGTTAAGGAGATTTGAAGAACAGTTTAACATTTAAAATTTGAACATGATTCAAGGCTATTACAAATAAAATTAGTATGGAGTTGTTAGTATACAAAATAAATTTATGTATTTATGTATATTTGATATATTCACACATACAATAGTTCTGTAAAAGCTGTATGGAAGTTATTTATAACTTCCAGTTTTTTAACTATGGAAACTCATTTTCTAAACAACTGGTTTTGTAGTTAAGATAAGGGCAAACTAGTCCTATTTATCCATTTACACTAATGTTTAGAAAACTCAACGTGATTAATATTTTCAGAAGTAATCTCCTAAAAGCCCAGATTAGAAAACTATTAAATAAAGCACAGTCATCTAAAATGGATCTGTGACTTGGGAACACCCCTCCCCCAGTCATTTAAACTGTTCAATAATTGCATTCTGCTACTAGAGAATTGTACAGTTATCCATTCCATATTAACGTAACATTTACTTGAAGGCTTACTACATGTTAGGGATTGCTGTACATTTCACATGTATCATTTCTCTTGTTTGTTATAGAAACTATGGATAAAGGTACAAATGCCACTTTACATTGAAGAAAACTAAGGTTTAGAGAGGAAAAAAAAAATGTTTTGCCCAAGATCATATGGCAAGTGAGTAATGGCACCTGGACTTGAAGTTCCAAGCCTTGCTTTTTGACCATTTTTGCTAAGTCAAAGACTGAAATCTTCCTCTTTATTGTTCAACTATACCTGGAGCAAAGAAGCTGCTAACTGTGTTAAATTCTTATCAGGAAGAAGAATATAGCACCGGCTGTGAAGATAACAGCAACAAAAACAAAATGAAAGTACCAAGATATACTGGAGAAGATTTGGAAGAAGGAGACCAGAGTTTGCATTTGGCTCAGTTTTAAGCTCATATGTCACTTTCTTAGGAAGGCCTTTCCTACCACATCCTCTTCCATATTTGTCTCTGTTAGAACACTGAACTCATTGCTGTAATTATACAATGATTCTAAGGTGCACATATTTTTCATTGTAGCATGTCTAAAATCTGGATTCATCTTATAATTGATGGTATCTTAATTGGTAGCATTTCTCCTTAATTGTTGGTACAGAAAATAAGGATGTAATTTATGTTCGATGGCATCTTAGATTTGATGAAACACAGTATTTAAATGTGTTCCCATGGAAAGGTTTATATCAATCCAACAGTTTTAAGTACCAGGTAGAGACAACGATTTTCCAGTTTCTAACCTAGTTCTCTTTTAAAGTCCAGATCTGCATGCATGATTAACTGAATCTCCCTTTGATACCACAGGGATCCCTGTTTCAATATGTGTACTTTCCAAACAAACTTGTCTTTTAGTATTCCATCTCAGTAATGGAATCTACATTTGTGAAGCTAAAAAGCTAGAAGTTTGCCAGGTTTTGAATCCTACTTCTACCCTATACTAGTTATAAAGAGACACAGTGAAACATTTGCCTTTATTCTTCACCTGTAAAATGGGTACCATAATAACACCTACCCCCTGAAGTGGTTAGGACAATAAAACATGGAGTACATGTTAGCTGCCACTAATCTTCATGCTAAATATCTGTGACCTCTCTCCTTAACTCTATACATGTAATTTCATCATGAAACTCTGTGAGAGGTAAGCTCTTCAGAACATCTCATTTCTATCCACTTTTATCTCATTGCTACTTCTCCACCCCAAGCCCTCATTTTTCTGACCTATACTAATAGCTTCTCCTCTTTTGCATCTCTAATCTGTTCTATACAAAGACCAGTCAGCCATCTTTCAAATCAGATCATGCAGCTTTTTAAAACCCCCAATCCTTGGTATGATGTGTATTGTTCTCAGTTGTTGTCGGCCTGGCCTACATTTTCAGCCTCATCTTTTGCCACTCTACCTCACAGTGTCACTCATTTCTCCCAAAACAAATTCCCATTCATCCTTATTTTTCAACTTAGATGCCACTTCCTCAAAGACATTCTGATCTTCCAAACTTGAAGTGGGTACTTCAGTCCTAATGTATAATCTTTTATATTGAATTTATACCTTTCAAATTTGGGGTGAAGGTAAGGAAGTTAAATGATTTCTCCAAGGCTTGTGATGCTAGTTATGGCAGAACTAGAATGTCAACCCAGGACTGGCCAACTGTCATTTCCATGATCCTTCATTTGCTTCCTTGAGAGCAGAAAAGAGCATATGAATCAATGTGCCAGGCTTTCAAATATGGCCTGACTTCTCTCCTTTCTTCCCATTTAATCTTCAGGTTGTTCTTTCAATATCCATTTGGCTGTCAGCCATCACTCCCAAAGTAGATTGTAAACCTACTGAAGTTGTTCTTCATATATTCTTATAGTATAGGCGCTTTTTTTTTTTTTTTTTTACATGAGAGAGCATTTGCATGAGCAAGGGAGGGGCAGAGAGGGAATCCCAAGCAGGGATGGGGCTCAATTTCATGACCATGAGATCATGACCTGAGCTGGTATCAAGAGTTGAATGCTTAACAGACTGAGCTACCAAGACACCTCTATAGCATTCTTATATATCTAGCACTTACATAAATTACTTTGCATACGGTAGATACTCATAAATATTTTTGTCTTAGGAATATTTGAGAAAAACTGTTGTAATCAATTTAATTTTTTCAAGGTTTGGAGCTATCTCACAAAGGAATTTCATACCTCCCATCCTCTTCTACCAGTCAGTAACAGTACATTGACTGTTTCATATTTTGAATAGAACTGCCTAAAATTATTTTGAAGTAAATAGTTTGTGTCTATTCTATACAAAGACAATAGTTTGTGTCTTCATGAATTATTATGATTGTGTCACTGGAAAAACAATTAACCTTAAGTATTTTTGCTTTGCTACAGGAATTAAGTGATCTACAACGTGACCCACCTGCTCATTGTTCAGCTGGACCTGTGGGAGATGACTGTAAGCATTGCTTTCTTGCTAGGATTTTGCTACCATTAATCATATAGGTTTGAACACTTGTTAATGACTCCAAAACTCCTTTGTTTGTTTCAGTGTTCCACTGGCAAGCAACTATTATGGGACCTGTAAGTATGATTCACAAATATGAAATTAATTCTCTCAGCCATACTTCATTCTTGCCATTTCACCTGTGATCAGATGTTTGTAGCTAAGGTGGAGTTTTTTTGTACTCTGAATCACTCAGGAAGAAAAATACGGTTAAAGGATTTATGATAATTTTCTAAAGCAATGGTGGCAAATACTTGCTAGGATCACTGTGATTTTTCCTTTGCCACATCCTTGATCATTACACAGTCATCGATCATGCATAGTGCAACCAGGCTGTGTGTTTGCTTTATCTGTTTAAAAAAAAAAATTTTTTTTTAACGTTTGTTTATTTTTGAGACAAAGAGAGACAAAGCATGAACAGGGGAGGGTCAGAGAGAGGGAGACACAGAATCTGAAACAGGCTCCAGGCTCTGAGCTGTCAGCACAGAGCCCGACGCGGGGCTCTAACTCACGGACCGTGAGATCATGACCTGAGCCAAAGTCGGCCGCTTAACCAACTGAGCCACACAGGCACCCCATCTGTTTTTAAACACAAAAGTCAGTTGTTCAGAACTAAGCATTATTGTCACATCACCAAGTTTTGTAGGTTAGAAATGAGTCTCATTAACTCAGTAATGGAATACCTGCAAGTAACAAGCACCAGTTTACAATAACTTTCTTCACTGTTCGCATGTGTGAGAGAATGGATGAGATATTGCAATGGATCTGTCTTTGCCACCTCACGATTGGTTGTTTTTAGTTTTTGGTGTATTGTACTGAACTCAGAATTACCTGTGATTTTATGATTGGCTTTTCTTAACACTTAACCACCTTTGTTAAGATTATTTCTTTCTATACCGAAGAGGCAGTTATGACTTGAAACAGGCTTTTCTTTTGTGCACAAAAAACTGATTGCATAAGAATGGGCATTGACAACCTTCTGGGTGAGAGTATACTAGTAGCATGTTTCCATGAACATCTTTCTCTCTTCCCTCCCCTGAAAGAGCTGTATCTCGTAAGCCATAGAGGTTTTAATCATATTGCCTTGTGTTTCACTTTTAAAAACAATAGCAATTACTGAATTTTCAGAGCTGGAGTCCTAGGAAAATGTCTCAAATTACTAAATTGTTATATTAAGTTAGCTTACCAAAGGGTAAAATGCAACATACTTATTTAAATAACAACAGTAAGAATCTAGGTATTTGTTTTTCATTGCTTACTAAGAACCTTCAAAATACTATTATTAAAAGGCCCACCCTAACCACTTGAAATATAGCCCTTCACAGATATTTCTTAGGTGAATCACATGTAGTGATCACATTACATGTATTTTAGTAATGCATACATGCCACTCTATAATATGATTTGAATATCTGAGCAGACCATATCTGTTGATTGTAATTACTTAAATTTTCCACATTCCTTATAATTTTTGATGAACTAGAATTAAACTAGTAAGAATAATTACACTGTACAGTTCTCTAATGTATATGCAGAAACTTAAGGAAGTAATGATAGTCTTGCTGTTATTACCAAAGTGGTAGTTTAACATGATAAATTTAATTAAATATAAAGGAGTCAAAATAGAATTTTAGGGTTTAACTGTTACTAAGTGAAGATTGGAGGTCTGCATTGTGTGTTACTTAGCCTTTCCTTTTTATAACTTGGTCTTTTTAGTTTATCTCTATTCTTGCCCCTTTCTTATAGGACTATCAGAAATAAAAAGGTAAACATAGCCCTAACCTTTTTTCCCATACTGATTACTGTTGCAGAAAATTCTTCTTTTCTCAAAGCAATCTTGCATGTATACTGATCTTTAAAAATCTTTACTCATAAACAGACCTGTTTGAGTAAGTCACACTACTGTGTGTGTGCGATTTTTATGTTTAACCATCATGATTGTTGTCTTCCTTCATACCTGCAAAGGGAAACCTGTTTTTAAGGTAAATGATTTGAACTTATGACAAAATGATGGCATTTTTTTTTCAAATATATTTGGGGGGAAATCATCTTAGGTTATTAAATAAATATAATAACCAAACACTGATGCAAATATTTGTAATTTCAGCCTGATAGCGCCTATCAAGGTGGAGTCTTCTTTCTCACTGTACATTTTCCGACAGACTATCCTTTTAAGCCACCAAAGGTATTTTTAGTTTTATGATTGGTGTGACTCCTTTATCAAGGATTTTACTTTCTACCCCAAGATATGTTCATGATGTCAGAGACTTTGGGTAGATTAGCATGTTCAAACTATTCTGTAAAATCACTGAATCTAAAATATGCTTTCTTACTCAAATATTGGACTATATCTGTAAAACAAAAGGTGGTATCTGATATACTATAAATTAGCTTCTTTACCTTTTTTTCCCCCCTCCTCATTAGATATATATGTAGTTTGGGAAATTTTTTAATGGTCTAAAATCAGACTTTTTTTTTTTTAATTTTTATTTTTAAGTTTATTTTTGACAGAGAGAGAGAGACAGAGCATGAGCGGGGGAGGGGCAGAGAGAGAGGGAGACACAGAATCCGAAGCAGGCTCCAGGCTCTGAGCTGTCAGCATAGAGCCCGACGTGGGGCTCGAACTCACAGACCGTGAGATCATGACCTGAGCCGAAGTCGGACACTCAACCGACTGAGCCACCCAGGTGCCCCCAAAAATCAGACTTTTCTGTTCAGAGGATTATCTTTCCAAAGTTGACCTTATTTCTCAGTTCTTAAGTATTCAACAAAAATTTATTGAGCACCTCCAATATTCTGTTACATTGGGGACTACAAAAGTAAATATGACACAGCCCCTTTATTAAGTATGGTAGGGAAAATAAAAACATGTTCTTATTAAATTAAATTTAGACTAGACCTGAAGAGAAAATAAATGATGGTGACATCAAGGAGGGACAGATTTGTTAACAAATTCTGTCACTTGAAATAATTATTTTATTTTATTTTATTTTATTTTTATTTATTTATTTATTTATTTTGGGATAGAGAGAGACAGAGCATGAACGGGGGAGGGGCAGAGAGAGAGGGAGACACAGAATCGGAAACAGGCTCCAGGCTCTGAGCCATCAGCCCAGAGCCTGACGCGGGGCTCGAACTCACGGACCGCGAGATCGTGACCTGGCTGAAGTCGGACGCTTAACCGACTGCGCCACCCAGGCGCCCCTATTTTATATTTTTAAGAACACCTGATTAACATTATATTTATGAAACAATATAACAATAACTCTTGTGGAAGATTAGAGTTGTTAGCAGATTCCTTAGGATAAGTAACAGGCTGAGGCCCCGCAACTTCCCTCTGGAACAATGTCAGCACTCTATTTGTAGATCCAGGCATCACTTGTAAGTATCAGTGATTTTCAAATTAAGAAAAGGATTACTTTGAGGGATGATGGAAGCCATGGTTAATTATTCAGGTACTACTCAGCCAGTCATACCAGCTATTATAGGCTTATTTATTATATTCCAAAAATAGTTCTCAATTCCCGGGGGGGGGGGGGGGGGGGGAAAGGGGATACTGACTCTTTTTGCTTTCATACTCCCAGTAGCTATGTATGCACAAAGTAGATGCTCAATTTGTGTTGAATACATTTCTCCTCTAAGGTCATATAAAATTCTAGAGCAAATTGGTTCTCTTTGTTCATAGATCATGGATTGTCACATTTTTGTTTTGTTTTTAGATTGCTTTCACAACAAAAATTTACCATCCAAACATAAACAGTAATGGAAGTATTTGTCTTGATATCCTGAGGTCACAATGGTCACCAGCTCTGACTGTATCAAAAGGTAATTTCATTTATCAGATTTATAACAGCTGATAACAGTGAGACAGAAAAAATATTTAGGGACTAAATATTTAAGGAAGTATTAGCAGAAGTATTCAGGGACTAAAGTTAAAAAAAAAAAAATCTGTGTTTTCTCCTGCTTTGATTTTGCTTTTCTTACCTAGTTCTTCTATTACTCTTTTGCTTTTAGCAGTTAACTTATGGGGAGGGGTTGATGGGCAAATATAAATGATAAAATGAGAGAAATCTTAAATGTTAGAGCTAGAAATTTGGATAAGCCTGTTGACATTTTGCCCCTTTAGTTTGGGCTTTAAAGAGAGAGACAGAGATAGAGTAAAAATAAGATTTTGGGACCAGCTGCCTCATTTATTATGTGGGATTGTTGATGTAATGAGTAAAGCTTTGTATCTTTTACTTCATCTAGGAAATACCTGATTAGGCTGATAACTGATTTAAAGTGAATGACACATTTCACTCTTTAGAATAATGCACTACATTTAGCATGTTAGTCTAAACTTTGAATAATCAGTAACATTATTGTAATGACTGATAACATAATCCCTGCGGATTCTCATCTTTCACAGATATATAGTTTTGTTCTTTGCTAAATTATCAGATATGTACCCTAGACTATCTGAAGCCTTTTTGTTATTAGCCAATACTATTTGCTGTGCCAGCCCTCTTAATTCATGTCTTGTTTCTCTAGCAGAAGAGAACCTGACTGTTCAAAATATTGTTTTGAGTTAGAAGCATCTGCCCCTGAAGTAATTTGGTAGTTTTCCCTTTTTGTAAAATTTTTTTAAAATTTAGGAAAACTTACTTCTCTTGAAGGATTCAGGGGAGGAATCTATGGTCATTTAAAATGTCTTTTAAATAAATGCTACCTGAATGTTTAACTTATTTTTTATAAAAGTGATAAGGATTATAGGAAGCAGCATCCACAGCCATAATTATTTCAAATATTAGGTAAGTAGTAGCCCTTCAGGTCAGCTAGTTATTATGACTGGCAGCTTTTCTGACCTAAAATATTTGTTTAAAATGTTCATGTCGATTCTAGTGTCTTTTTAAAAAATCTCACATAGTGTAACTGTTATGCAGTAGATGTAGGAAAAATTTTCTGTTGAAGGGTTATTCAAATTAATATACTCTTTTCCTGGAATGGTATCACAAAATGAAATTCATTTGGCATAAGTGCTTAAGTACTTACACATATAAAAGAAATGGCAGACTGCCAGATGTTAAGCATTTATCTCCTAACTCTTGCAGCTTTTTATAAATATTTATTAGTATGGTTGGCTTCTGGAAACTATCCTTTAAGAAGAATTTCTAATAGCCTCAGTTTCCTCATCTGTAAAATGGGGATTATAATAGTATTACCATATAAGGTCACTATGCATCTGGCACATAGTAAGCACTCAAATGAATGTTAACTATTACTACCTTTTTCCTTATCTTAAAACATTTGATTTGTGTGCATGATCGTGAAATCAGGGCACCTGGCTCTTGACAGCAAGAGTGGGGAATGAAGAACTTCCCTCTTGGTTATTTTATAGGGTAGCTTATACTTTTGCTCATTTGTGCATTTTTCACTTTTTAATATTTTAAATGGTTTATTTTGCTTTTTATCATGAGTTTAGTATGGAAACTTTCTAGGGATGTGGGCCCAGATAATCTACCCTATTGGTTTAATATACAAGGCATAAAATTTCACTGGGCAGATAAGGAAGATGAATAAAATGTTAGTTTTCTCATTAGCCCTGAGCAACCCCTTGTCTGTATCATTTAAGAATTAACTCTGCTTTATACATTCACTTGTGGATTTGTAAGAGTAGGAAAAGGTAAAGGCACATAGAGGTGGGTGAAGATGAAATATTGTTCCAAAGACTCCTTGTACCCCCTCAGAAGTGGTAGCATGCAATTGAAGCAGACAAATGAGGAACCAGAGTCCTTGTTCCTTACTTTTTCAGGTACTTAGATTTTTTTTTAAATGTAGCTGTTTGAATTTGTATTTTGACATGGCAGTAAACAACTACTTTTTCAATTTTCACTTACATTTTAATATACTATACAAGCTATGTGTTGATAACTGTTCACATTATGTTTAAATGAGTGATACAAATGTGTATGGAATAAAAGATTCATTAAAAAATCTGACAAATGTTTCTTCTTGGTAGGCAAACTATAGCACCAAGTCAAAGTAAAAAAGTGCATAAACATGAGTCCGAAATGGTTTTTGGACTGTTAACTGTAATTTGATTGCTTTAATTTGAATTGATTAGAACATAGATCTTCTGCATTAGATAATTTTCTCATTAAAATACAAAAATATCTCTAAGAAATATCTAAAGTTAGGATACGTTCTAACAATGTTTTGATTAGGTACCATATTTGGGGTGTATACGTATTACCTAAAAATATTTTTGTAGAGAACTCTTGAGTTTACATGTTGTTAATAGTTACTTTAGAGATGCGCATTTTTTAAATAAGTAGAAATTCAAATAGAATTTAAAACTTCAAAAGTTTTAGTAATTTTTTATTATATACATTGTATGGTAATTTTATAATTTTAAATATTAAAAATACTTGCTCCTAACCAAAGATAATCTGAAATGTAATTTAATATGTTTATTTTATTTTGTTTTCTTTGTAAGTTCATTGTCTGTATTCAGTAAAGTCATTTTCATACATGTGACTGTATAAAATAGATCATTATCTAATGTGATGTTCTCTTTTCAATCTAGTTTTATTGTCCATATGTTCTCTACTTTGTGATCCTAATCCCGATGACCCCTTAGTACCAGATATTGCACAAATCTATAAATCAGACAAAGAAAAGTAAGTGTTTACTTATATTAGTTTCTGCTTAGAAGTATTTCTAGGTAGTCTGCCAAAACATAAGTATTATTAATATATTTAAGTCCATTTAATTGTGCTTATTATCTTTCCAATGGAAGATATTGTTCCTTTTAAAATTTTTTAAAAATCTTTTTTAAATCTTTTAAAAATATTTTTATAAAAAATATTGTTCCTGGGGCGCCTGGGTGGCGCAGTCGGTTAAGCGTCCGACTTCAGCCAGGTCACGATCTCGCGGTCCGTGAGTTTGAGCCCCGCGTCGGGCTCTGGGCTGATGGCTCAGAGCCTGGAGCCTGTTTCCGATTCTGTGTCCCCCTCTCTCTCTGCCCCTCGCCCGTTCATGCTCTGTCTCTCTCTGTCCCAAAAATAAATAAACGTTGGAAAAAAAAAAAATTAAAAAAAAAAATATTGTTCCTTCCTACATAGTGTTTAATCCTTTACTATTTAATAGTACATGTTTATATTTGCATGATATGTCATGTTTTTTGATAGAAAGAACTATACATAGTTCTAGGTAATAAATTTAAAATAAAAGTATTTGATAATTGGAAAGCATTGAATACTATATTCCTTATCTTCTCCCCAGAAGAGAAGATATCCCTAACTGCCTCCACCCTGACCTAATTTTCAAGCTGCCTCATTTTGCTGGTACCATTGATTCATTTACAGTTTACAGATTAATGCCCATTCAGGGTTGGCTTTTATAGATTTGTTAGAAATTGGTTTCTTCATTTTTTTGTTTATAACTTAGGTATTTTTTTATATTGGTTGTAGAGAAATCCATCAGTTAAAAAATCACTTGTTTTCTGTTTTATTTAATGTATGGTTTAACATTGACCCAATAATTGGCATATGAACGATTATTGCAATTAAGTATAAGATGGTAGAATATACAGTTTTATATAAAATAGGTCTTCTAAAAGGTTCAATTTGTATGTTTTTACTATATCCCTTTTGTATGCCCACAGATACAACAGACATGCAAGAGAATGGACTCAGAAATATGCAATGTAAAAACAAAAAAAATTTTCATATATACCAGAGTACTGTAAAATCTAGGTTTTTTTCAACATTAGCAGTAAATTGAGCACTGTTTACTGTTTCATTGTACCATGAAATCTTTGATTTTTATCCATTTTACATGTATTTCTGAAGCAAGACAGACTTCCAGAAATACCCTTAAGACTGTGATGAGAGCATTTGTCATTTTGTATGCATTGAGAAAGACATTTATTATGGTTTTTAAGATACTTGGACATCTGCATCTTCAGCTTACAAGATCTGCAGTGCATCTGAAAAGCAACCAAATTATTTTTTGCTGAAACTAGATGTTTTTACATGAGAAATACTGTATGTGTTGTCTAAGATGTTATCGGTTTTATAAATCTGTATTCAGATTTCATTCTTTGTTAGCTCACTTTATAATTTGTATTTTTTTACTGTATAGACTAAATATATTCTATGTACATGTACCTAAACTCGTTACCTTTTTCCTGTGAACAGTATTGAAAAAACCCAACAACTGGTAATTAAATGAATTAACTGTCTGTCTCCCTTGTTTTAGGGTATTCTGTAGATTGAGTGCAGATTTCTTAAACCTGAAATGATCTTTACACTGTAATTCTCAGTATCCTGATTATGGAGAAACACTTGTTTTGATTTTGTTATACTTGACTTTATTGCAATGTGAATTAATTGCACTGCTAAGTAGGAAGATGTGTAACTTTTATTTGTTGCTATTCACATTTGAATTTTTTTTTCTGTATAGGCAATATTATATTGACATCTTTTACAGATATTAATGTAGCTTTTTCCATATAAATAAAATGCTTTTTCTACTATTTGTCTTGATTACTTAAAGAAATAAATTATCTATAAGTAAGGATAAAAACTATAAAATTTTGCATGAAAATTAATTCCAAATTGTGGGAATGAGGTCTGTTGTGTTTAGCATTAATTGCCATTGATTTTAAAAATTCTATTTCTTTAGGTTTGTATCTGTTTACTGTATTAAAAGTCTAGAGGATGATATACATTGGTCCCTTGTTATAGAAGAGAATTTAGAATACGCTGAGGTTTGTCTTGGATCACATTTTAAATGGATTATTTACTAAAGTACTGTGATGAGTATAAGGCAGTGTCACCCACATTGACGAAAGTATAGACCTGAAAAATACATTAGTTTAATTCATTAAAATGCCCCTCTAGATGAAATGGACATTGTATTTCTTAACATTTTAAAAGCTAGAATTTTTATCATTTGGTGTCATCACAGTTTGAAAGAGGACATCCATTTTTTACTAAAGATGTTATAAAGAAAATTCTAAAATGATGCTTTCCTCTGTTTTTATAAATTTCCAGTTAAAAAGTGATTTAAATAAACAGGTTATCTTTGCAGATTTTAAAGAAAGCTAGAAAGTTTAATGTTTTAACTTGAAAAAAAATACATTTCTAATTATTTAGCATGCTTACCAAACTTGAGTGGGTGTCATTTTTAAGAAGAGTTGTAGCTCTTTGGATTATTGCAGTAGCTGTGTAAATGTACAAGAATCTGTGATTGATGTAGTCATTAGCGAAGCATTTAAATCACTTAAGTATTTTATCATGGATCATTATTATTAAAGCACAAAATAACCTGTTGTTAGAAAATGTGTTTTTATAAATGAATGTAAAAATAATTAAATGAATTGTGAAGTGGATGTTTAAGAAAATAGAGGCTTAAAAAGTACTATTAAGTAATGTCTTGAAACAGACATATCATGAAAAACACTGCTTTACTACCTATATGATTATAAGCTACATTCACCCAGAATTTGAACTCTCAACATCATTAGATTTCAGTATTTAGTGTATTTTGATAGTAAAGGATTTTGTTTCTTGAATATCTTCCACTTTTTTAAAACTTTGATTTGTGTGGCATTTATTTTTGGAAGTGGCTTTTTTTTTCTTTATTAAAGTTTTTGAAAGTCGTCTAACTCTTGTTTGCCTTTGCTTACATCTGAATTATACGACCAGATTCTGGAAGAGTGAACACAAGTTACCATAATTAAATAAAAACCTTAAGAGTTCAACAGTGGCATAATGATTAGCCAGGTCACCATTTTGGTTATGTTGTTTTTGCTTAATTCTGACAAAGAGTGCATCAATTACCTTGTACAACTGCAAGTTCAAAGCAGGGAACTTCCTCCATGGATTAACCATTAATTTAGGGACTGCTTTGGAGTGAGGAAAATGAATAGTCTTTGGAGATTTAGGATTTTAACCTTTTGAAGTCTTGGGTGGTCCAAGACAGTTGGAAACCATATTCAAATTGGATTCTGGACACTTGTAACTGCCACATATAGTAAATCAGTAATACAAGTTGTAAGGGTAACCTGACTTGCATCCCCCAACTAAAAAGCATGTGGTTCCTGCGGTACAGGCTTTACACCTACCTATGTAAACCATATATGATTATTCATTTTTGCTTTAATTTATCCCCTTGCCCCCATCCTTAAACTATTTAAGGAAAGTGAAAAATTTACTTTGTAGATCAACTACTTATAAATTGCAAAGGATCATAAGGCATCAGGTGAGAAAGAAACACAGAAACAAGAGGAACCCTGAAAGTTAATATTCAAAAGAGTAACTTTTAAAAAAACTTGAAAAAAATGTAATGTAGTTTTTCATTTCTTTTATTACTTTATCACAGTGATCTGTTTATCTTTGTATATCATTCAGTCATTGATGTTATGCAGGATCCTGCTCTCACAGTTCTGTATTTTTAAGATGGAAAGATTGGGGATATTAATTTTCCTCTTAGATTAAAAGAGATTGTTGGTCATGAAAGAGATTGTTGGTTTGATAGAGTATCCTACTCTATCAAAGTAGGATTTTCAAAAAAGGTTTGCTTGAAACAGAGGCTTAAATGCAATTCATTAGCCCTAAAGGATAATGCAGGTCATTTGTGAAAGTTCTCATTTAAAAAAATTTTTTTTATTGTGTTTATTTAATTTGAGAGAGACAGAGTGTGAGTGGAGGAGGGGCAGAGAGAGGGAGACAGAATCCAAGCAGGCTCCAGGCTCTGAGCCCTCAGAATAGACCCTACACGGGCTGAAACTCAGAAGCCGGGAGATCATGACCTGAGCTGAAGTCTGACACTTAACCGACTGAGCCACCAAACACCCCTAAAGTTCTCTTTTTTTTTTTTTTAACGTTTATCTATTTTTGAGAGACAGAGAACGAGCAGGGGAGGAACAGAGGGAGAGGGAGACACAGAATCCAAAGCAGGCTCCAGGCTTTGAGCTGTCAGCACAGCCTGACGCGGGGCTCGAACCCACGAACTGTGAGGTCATAACCTGAGCAGAAATCAGTTGCTCAACCGACTGAGCCACCCATGTGCCCCGTTCTCATTTTTTTAATAGTGCTTCTCTAATAGTTCTCATAGTTGCACAGATGAGAGAAGATTCATCTGATTTCACTTGTAAAAATTGCTATGTATAGATAACTAGTCGTGTGTGTGTGTGTGTGCGTTGAGTGATGTTGGCAAACTTCCTACACAATTGATGTGCTTTCACCAGAAGTTTTTTCAGTAGTAGTGATAATTAAAAATTTGTGGACAGCTGATGTTTTTGGTTGTAGAAATAATCTAGTGTAAAAGTATCTTCAGGACAACCTAAGTGTTAAATCACTTAGTTGTATTATATTACACTTAAATTTCTGCTGCCATTATCCTGTTATATATAAGAATGTAGTTTTAAATTATAAATGAACTAATAGGAGGAGGGAATATTCACCTAAAACTATTAGCATTTGGAGGCATTTTTATACAAAAAGATATATTTCTTTAAAAACTTACTTTAGCACTCTATTAGGCTCTCCTTGTAGAGGAAGGGATGTGCCTTTTTTACCTCAGGAGGAAGTTCCTTTATTATTCTGAGTTATGCTTTCCCCATATAATTTATTTGTGTGACGATCTCTTTAGTGCAAAGGATCACGATGAGCTGTGTATGAAATACAGTATTGTAAATTCTTAATATACATATTATGAGAAACAGTTGTGACACCACTTGTGTTAGCACTTCTGACCCACTCATTTTAGCAGTCCCGTGAGCACCCACACATTCAACGTGTCAATGTAATTCATAAGACTAAGCATGTGATCATACTCCTACCTAAAATTTATTATAGTGACACAGTGAAGATACACAGCTGGATCAGAAAGAGGAAAAGACTAGAGTCTAGAGGAATCCATGTGCAGGCTTCCTATGCTGTCCTTGAAGGGGCCACATTGAGTGCACTCCCTCCAACAATGCATTAATCTGGGCACACTGTTTCTCCCCAGGGAAACCTGTTTAAAATTCAAAGTCCAGGGTTTTTATTGGAGACTAAATCATATAGGCACATTTTGCCCTCCAAAATCCTAATCTCCCAAAAGAAAAGCAAGTATTCACCATAAATCATATTGTTTTTTAAACAGTTTTAGGCTAGCACAGCCTATACAACCTTTGCACATAAAGAAAATTTCAAAACCAAGTTCTAGATGGCTGCTGAGGGTCAATCTTGTAAGCAAGCCCTTCTAAAGATCAGGCCTGCACCGTTTGTTGAAAAGACTTTTCTTTCCCTTTGAATGGTCATGGTACTCTTGTTGAAAATCAACTAGACACAGGTTTATTTCTGGACTCTATATTCTACAGATCTACATGCTTTATGTTAGTACCATACTATATTAATTACTGTAGCTTTGTAGTAACTTCTGAAATCAGGAATTATGGGTCTTCCAAATTTGTTCTTTTGTGATAGTTTGACTCTTATGTCCCTTGTGATTCCAAATGCATCTCAGGGTCAGCTTTTCCACTTCTGCTGAGATTTTTAATTGGGATTGTATTGAATCTATAGAGAGGTTTTAGTAAAGACAGCTTTTGTTCTGGTTATTTATTGTTGAATGACAACCACAAATTAAGTAGTGTAAAGGAAAAACCTTTTTTATTATGCTCATGGATTCTGTTGGTAAGGATTTGGGATGGAGCACAGTAGGGATGGCTTATCTATTCCATGATACTTAGGCCTCAGTTGGGGGCAACTAGGGACTGGAGGCTTAAACCATCAGGAGGTTTCTTCACTCAGATGTTGGCATCTGGACAAGTATTGTCTACTAGAGCACTTATTAAAAGACTTTCTATGTGACTTGAGCTTCTCACAATATGGCAGCTCAGCTCTAAGAGGGAGCATCTGGGGAGCAGTGTTCCAAGAGAACAGGAGAAAGCTGCATGACCTTTTATGATCTAACCTTTGAAGTTACAGTGTCACTTCTGCTGTACTTCATTGGTTGAAGCAGCTATAAGCCCTCTCAAAGGGAAGGTGACATAGACTCCCACCTTTCCATGAGAAAATCTGGGGTCACTACCATATCTTATGAATTCCTCCATTCCATGAATATATATTCATGTTTAATGGTTGAATGTTTTATAGTTTTATGCGTAGAGGTATTGCATATTTTTCACCGGATTTATTCCTAGTATCTGATTTTTAAAATGTATTAAAATGTTTCTCATTTTCTATGTTCTTACTGTATAGAGATCAATTTATAATATTTTCCTTGTATCTGGCAACCTTGTTCAATTCCTTTTTAATGGTTTGTAGAATTTTAAGGTTTTCTGCAATTATATTTATGTAACCTGTCAATAGTGATAACTTCCTCATTTCTAATATATATATGTCTCTTATTTCCTTTTCTTTCCTTGTTGCATTAGCTATGACCTCCAGTATCATGCTGAATAAAAATGATGATAGCAAGCATCCTTTCTTGATTTCTGAGGGAATGCTTTCATCTTTTCAGTATTAAGTATGGTGTCTGTTTATT